AATAATAATAATATAAGCAATAAAAATTAACTAAAAAGACAGTTACAATTTACGGGCATAAAGAACATTTTATCGTTTTTATAAACTAAATAGAACATTGTATTAAATCAAGATAATATGGAATATCTTCTATTTAAATGTCAATTTCTATCATTAAATGATAAGATATATATAAAGATGAAATACTGAAAGTGAACTCGTCCAAACTATAATAGTCTGACTTTTTGTTCTATTCTCTTATACATATAACATTGCGCAATATTTTAAAAATAACTCTATATGATAAAATAAGTATTTCAGTTTTTTAAAAGTTAAACAAAAAACGGCAATTTCAGAAAAGTTCATTCATCCATGAAAATTTGGGTAGTACCATTTTTTATTTTATTTTTATTAAGTACTTATTACAATGATTAATTTTCAGTTAAAAAAGAAAGGACAATCATTTATTGGTTAACTAAAATTAATGTGAAGATATATTTTTCTTATTATGAAAAAGAACTAGAAATCTCCAGAAAATATTGAACAAGTGTTTATGTTTTAGTTCAGAACTTTTCGTTAATGAAACAACTACAAACCTGTATTAGCATGAAACCGATAGGTTTAGGGTTTTTTCAATGAAGACAGTACCATTCAACCAATAATTCATAATCTAATAGCCAGTTTTTATTATTTTTTATTTAAACAGATAAATATTGGTACAAGGAGGCATCATATAAATCACTTGATTTGTATGAGGGCTGAGTTACTGCCCGGTGCAGGTGGTTTTCGTAAAGGGGGCTACACACGGAGCCTTTGACCTAAATGTCTAAACCACAAAGCAATGGAGCAGAGTTAGGAGATGCAGTCCCATGGTGACTAACAATTGGTTCATACACCATTTGTTCCTTCGGAATACTGGAGCTCATGTGCATCATTGGTCTGGACTCACCGTTTTCCAACTCCCCTAAGTGGACTCTTTGTGTCCACCAACCAGTTAAAGCAACGGGCACTAGCTTTTCGTCCTCTCAATTTCGCAAACAACAGTAATGCCACTGAGAGGAAATGAGTAGGACTTCCCTGGAAGTAGTTGTATACGCGTGGCCATATGAAAACATTTCGAGAGGGAGAGCGAACTCTCCCTAACCTAGGCCTTACCGGAGCATTTGGCAGATACAGTTAGTATTTTCAAATCCACTTATTTTATCATGTATAGTAATCCTCGACCAATAACATAAATGAATTAATGATTTTCACACAGGTTACAGTATGTTACTAGGATTTCAAGTTCCTTTTTATTTCTTGACCCACTAATACAGGAGTTTCGTATACAAACACTTGAGAATATAACTTCACCAAACTAATTGCATTGTGAAAACACCGTTAAAAAAGTTGTTAACAGTTATACTGAGTTACTTTAAAGTCATCTAATTTTGCTTAAAACGATAACTAGTTCTAAATTGCCAATTGAATTAATACAAGGATAAGTCAATGAAATGAACCGTAAAAGATGAAATTCTTCATTAAACCATAAATTCTACAATAAACTATATCTCATTAATTTAAAATCATTGTTGTTCAGTTTTTTTTTAAATATCATGAATGACATCACAGAAACCATTATATTACAAGGTAGAGTTCATATGGTGTACAGTCTGGTCTAACAGTGGAGTGGTAAAAAAAATTAAAATCAAAATCTAACTATGATCATTTATTTTATTTATTTTATTTGAACACATGATATTGGTACAAGAGAGCGCCAATATATATGCGCCACACAAAACAATGAAAATTCGAAGAGAAGTACAAAAAACAAAACCAAAAAAAAACAACCAAGGAGCGCAAAAGAAAAAGAGAACAATAACGAAGAGATTGGTGTAAAGGTAGTGTGGTAGTAACGAGGGAACGAAAAGGTACAATCAGAAGAAATCTTTCAGGTAAGGGAGACACTACCACTTTTTATGAAGAAAGTAAAAGGTTACAGCAGGATCGCCACTAGCTTCTATTCTGAGCCATATCTGATAACGTCTCTAGCCACTGTGTAGCGCCATCTCTCAGACCCCAACCAGGGAGTCGTGAAGGACCGACTGAAGCCAGCCTTTTGCAGCTTTCTTCCATACCACGACACCATGTCATGCACTGACCACCTCTCTGCTTCTTCCAACCAGTCCCAGAGTCGGCAAATAATGCAAGACGTGGAATTCTCTGGGACGACATTCGTAGAACATGTCCGAGCCACCGAAGTCGGTGTTTCAAGATGGTGACACCAATTGCATTATCATCTCTGTGCCCGAACACACGATGCCGAACCTCTGCATTACTGACATGGTGTTGCCACTGAATGTCAGCAATCCTTCGGAGACAGCGATGATCGAACACAGAGAGTCGTCCTCGCAGATTGTTTCACTCACACCAGACTTCTTGCTGCCAGTGGCTCGGATGAGCTAGAAGAGCTTCCGGTAGTTACCAGATGCAGCTGCTGCTTCCAACTCATTAGCACGCTCCGACCACCAGGCTTCTCGGTCCTTACGCAAGCCTTGCTCAATTTCAGTACGCAACATCCTTCGTTTATGGTCAAACTCACGGTCACCCGGAGTAGACCGACGGGCTTCAATGAGTTGTAAGGAACCAGAAGAAACCCAGTGCTTAAAAGCGGGACGTTTCGCAAACCCACAACTGACTGTTCCCGCCATTTTCATGGCGTCATGCAATTGCAACCAATGCTCATCTATACTTTTCGGTGGAGTGGTAGCTAGCCTAGAGGCTAGCTCGGTTCGATACTTACTTGCAACAGAAGTTGCAACCAGCTTGCTAACATCAATCTTTTGGTGGTGGTTACTCCGTTGGCCACTGAAAAGTAGGGCAAGATTGGCGCAGACCAAGGCATGGTCAGAGTCCACATAGGTACTCCAAAAGGAGCGTCAGTCTTGCACACAACCACGCCAGCGGTAGCTGATCGCGATGTGACCAACCTGACTTCGGGCTTGAGATGCAGAGGGAGGACGCCAGGTGGCACATCGGCGATGACTGTGCCGAAAGTTAGTGCTAGCCAGAAACAGGTTGTGGTCTGTTCAAAGTTGCAGTAGACGGTCCCCGTTATCTGACCTGCGACCAACACTGACCTGCGAGAACTGAAGCAGTTTTTCTGAAACCACGTGCACCACTATGATCATTAAATGAAGCTAAACCATCATAGAAAACCTGGAAACACTAGACATCCGTTTCGTCTTATTGTGGTGGTCCATGTTGATCTAGCTTCAATTGACTCATGATCTCAACCACTGAAATTACTATAATATCCAAAAAATCCCTTCTGATATGATCATTAAGTTATCAAAAACAAGTATATTCACTTTGGATCCATTTTTATAAATCTTCAAAATTGAATAAATTAATAAACAAAAAAGTTAAGACAAAATGCGTGGTAATGATAATGTCTAGGACAACAATGAAAACCTTGAAGTTAAATCTTACAGTAAAACATCAGTGAAAGTATCAATGTGAGCTTAAAATCTCCGTCACAGCATAAAAAATCTGGACTCGTCCAAATAGGATCAAGTTATTTGACAAATATATTAATAGAACTATGGCTGTAATCAATTTTTTTAATTAGTACTTAAAAAAATTACCGGTAATACAAGAAAATAAAATCAACTATATATAAAGGAGTTATTAAACGTATATAATGTCAAGACTACAAAAGATGGCCTACAGTTTACATTATGCATTGAACTATATTGAACGAATTTTTATTAAATGTGGGAAATTAAATGAATTTATACTAAAGATTGTAGTTTACATTCTCTTAGAACATATGACTCTAATGATCCAGTATCTGAGGACATCAAGATTTATGTAGAAAAAAAATTTATGTATATAGAGAAATTTATACCTAGATATATCGATTATAAAGGAGAACTTATAATAGTCGTGAGATATATTAGCTTAACGCATGGAACAAAATAATAATTCAAGAACTATCATGCCAGACAACTAAACAACTGAGGATATTAATTAAGTGATTCAGTACGAAACCTATTGAAGATTCAAAGTAATAGACTAATAAATATTTAGAAACTTAAGGTATCTTTTAAAAAAAACGTGCACTATGAGTGAATCTAAAGGACTTTACCGCTTACCTGATAATCAGATTATAACATAAGTACGCTTATTTTCAGTTTATGCGTTATTAGTAGAGATTATTTTATCATCATCATGATCATGTGCTATCGATGTTAATACATTTCAGACCAACAGTAGTATGAGTGCACTAAGAGTTTGTTATTGTACGCCCTATTTTGATACCTTCATCTCTGTATAATTGATTTCATTGAAAACAAACGCTATTTTAAATTAGGTTAAGAATAATCTTGATGGAAAGATATAAATGAAAGTAATCTCATAAAATTCAGTATTACATCATTACATTATTTATAGTTTCATAATACTGAAATTCAAAATGTCCTATTCTATTATTACTTTGTACTCACTTTGGATTCTTTAGTTAAAGGGCTTTAATTTATTGTTGGTGGTTTCTTACCATAATTTACATATTGATATTTTTTAAAGTTACCCCGTTTACATTATATTTCGCGTAGTAACTATTTTACTGATTTGCATAACCATGAAGTCGGAAATTTTTTAATACAGTTCTACAAAATCAACAAATATCAAAGTTTTTTCCATTTTTTAAGAATGAAATTCTCATTTCAGAAAAGTGGAATTGATATCAAGCCTAGTACCCGAATAATAATCACGTAGTACATCGATTTCTTTCAAATTTCAGGTATCCGTCATTGATTATTATCAACTATCTTAGAAGAACTTTTTATCGAATGCCTTTAATCATCTTACATAGAAATGTAAAAGCTTAATTTTATTACTTACAAAATTATTTCAGTCATAAAATGTAAAACAAAGCTGTGAAATAATGCTAATATATTTACAGAAGCTTTTATTAATGTGTAAATAAACTTCATATGGAATGATTTCATCACTAGATAAATGTAATTATATAAACTTACTATTGAATTACTATGTAAGTACCATGAAAAATAATTTTATTGTCTTTCCATTCATGTCATCACTGTTATTCATAATACCATTATCATTATCATGGTTATTAGTATTATGAATCTCAAAACCTTTTTATCGAAATGAGAATATCCTGAAAACCGAATAAATACATCGTTTAAACTGACATTGCATTAGCGCTAATCATTTCTTTGATTCATTCAAATTATTATAATCATAATTATTAAAATCGACACTAATATGTATGTTATCGATATGAATCCATAATAGAAGAATCCTTTTTTGTTTATCTAATATCAATAACTGTAGAAGCGTTCATTTAAAAGACTTATCAAAAACAAATGATACTTTCCGTTTTATATGATATTTACCACTCAATGACATAAGTTGAGATATCAGATGAACTTTAAAGCAATAGACTGTTTTTTTTTCATAATATAGGACCTATCATCATTGTATATTCATTATCTGTTCAATAATTGAGTCCAGGTCATTTAGTTCTCGTGATAAGCGCGTTACATTGAAACTAGTAAGCTAAAATCAAATGATCAATATCAAATAAGAACTTTCGTCTAAATTTGAACGAATAGTTTCACAATATTTGTACGCCAAGTTAATGTGAGTCAATAAAGAGGAAGGATATATTTGTAAAATCTCAGCGAAAGAATTCGAAGTAAATCTAACGTTTCGCCTGGCAAACTGGTCCAAGTTTTTTCAAGGAAAATATAATCAAACAACAAAATTATCGATCAATATATCTCTACTGTTTATTGATTTGTGAGATAATGATACATTCGTTATGAAAAAATAAGTAAAGATTTCAGAACACTGTTGAATAATCAAAACTTCTATCTTATTAATTCACTTGGTATTGTTTTACTTGAATCTTCCCATTGATGTTTTAGGACTGAAATTGATCAGTCTCTTATTGGCATATATGCATATTGTGCGTACGCCTCGATATTTTGGATACTGTATTTTGATAGAAGCAAATATTTACTTTTTTTAAAATCCTGCTAATTTCATCCTGAAATATTAAATGATTCCGTTTAATATCAATTAGATTAATAACTTCTAGCCAGTTGTATTCATAATTAAATTTTATTAAGATTTATAATCCCTCAATACCTTGTGTAATGAAGTATTTTTACATTGAACCAGTAATTATTATCACATAAATCTTGATCAAATAGTATTTAAATTATAGTCATGTAAACCAGTGTTAACTGTATTATTTGTTAAACATTTTAATGGACATTATAATGAAACCCATGGAATGGTTAATATTTACCTATATAATTCATTGTATATATTATGAACTTGTTTATTGTTGTCAACTGAATGATGTTTTATATTCACTAATACACTATGGTAAAGATTATCGAAATGAATAATTGACTAAATTTTATCAGTGAACATAATAATATCGGTATGAAAAACATATAATACAGTTAGTTTTCTAGGGATTTATTCATATCAATAAGGATAAAGTTTTATCATTAAGTAAAGTGTTTTCATATCAAAATACAATTAACTACAGAATTCAAAATCTATAGGTCCTGGGTTCGAATCTCACGAGGTAGGATTATGGATGCGCATTGTTAAGTAGTCCTACAATAGGACGAAACGGTCATCCAATGCTTCTAGGTTCTTCATAGTGGTCTAGCTTGATGTCATGATGTCAATTATTAAAATTTTTAGTAAGTCATTGTAATTTAATGGAAAAATAATATTTTATTAAATTGAAAATTTAGTATAGATATACTTAACTAGAATTAGTTTTTCATTACCAAGCTACTCAAGAAACTACACAAAAAAGACACTGACGTAATAAATTGATAATAAATAAATTTTAAAGTAAATACAAAAGTACACTTAAATAAATAACAATTTTCAACTATTTCCTTCTCAAACTCTACAATTATACACATCAAACTAGATCAATATATATATCTATTATTGAATTATTCATAACTTTATTAGTCCCCGACATTGACCGTTGCAAAGTAATTCTGTTTTGGTTACTTAAAAACTGTTATATCCAAGCGAAATTTAAATCACGAGTAACTTCTGCGACATATTAATTGACTAATGTTATCTATACATTCTTATGGTACAACTATTCAATAATTAGATTATGTAGATTTATATTACTCTTATTATAAGCTTTATTTTGACCTATAATTGTACGATTTACTGTTCTTAAGCTATGTTTAGTTTATTGACTCCTACCTCCCACGTTCACAGTCACTTTTTGGCTTTATTACGTACAAATGTTATTTCCTATTCTATATGGCGTTGCGATATGTTTGTTTGATATATAAACCCAGTATGTCTGAAATAAATGGTTCGATTCGATTCGATTCGCATAGTGGAAGCTGGTATTGGTGTTTTGGACTCAAGTGGACGGGCTAGGCGGACATAGGACCAATAAGGACGCTAGCTGCCCATACCGGTCGGACATCATTGGCTTGGCACAGTGCGAAGATTGTATAAGTCGTATTTTGATTGGTGGATAAATCACGTGATAAAAAGCCGGACATGAAGTCATAACAAAAACAATTGTTCATTCGAACATTCTTAATCTTGAGTATTTATTTAAGGGTTTTTAATTTCTTCTAAATCATATGACCAGCTATTAGTATAGGGAAACTAAATTATTGTTATAATTTCCATAAATCATTATTATTGCAGCAGGATTTGTTTAGATTGTAGAATTTTCACGGTTTGAGTCCCGAACTGATTTTACTTAGACTACCATTAAAAGCCTGAAAGCACTGGATGGTCATTTCCTCCTGAAAGAAAACTTTCCAGTAGTGTATATCCGCCTTTGGAGATTCAAACAATAGATGGTTATATTTTTTCGAAACCATACTGATATTTTTAATCATACCTAATTAAAATTTATTATTCACCAGAATACTTGAAATAAATTTATAGTGTTTCATTTTATTCAGCCTAAGTATAAACAGATTTACATTCAAGTTGCATGTTATTAAGGTGATATTATAAATGTAAAACATTTAAATACACTAAAATGAGACTATTAAGTGATATTTAATTAGTCACGGATATAGAATCAGATATGGAATCAGGTGAACCTATTTTAACAAGTAACAATAACCCTTAAAAGATCACTTGGACAAATGTAAACATCTCTGAAGTGACTCAGTAATAAAGAAGGGGAAATAGTAACGATCAAAATATTACTTAACAAATAACTTTATTCGTAGAAAGCCTTCAATGATTATATTTCACAAGTGTTTGGTACTTTATATTCACTGAAAAACTGAAACGTAAGTTAAAGTCCAGAATAACATGATACTTTTCCACTTCGCTTCAAGGCAAGATTTATAATAGAATAATAAAACCATCGCGTTTGAAATGAATTTCAAATCATTTTGCACAGAAGAAAATTAAGTTAGTGTCATGTCCGACCTATCTATACGTATAGTGAATATCTTGGAATTGGTTATCAACTTTGCCATAGATACGAAGAATTTACCGAAATAAGTGGTTTATTAGTTAGAAATTCCGAATACTGTGTATGGTAAGAAGATCATTGTCTGAAAGATCAGTAAAGATATATAATTTAGACAACAAAATAAACGATTTCATATCAACATCAGTATTGACTTGTGATCTGGAACCTTATGTGAATTAATCAAAAAAGCTGACATTTTGTCGTTTCTTTGATCACAATTATCTTACTCTCTAATATATCTGAGCTTATCTCTGATGAACACTGAGTAACGAAATTTCATCAGATGCCATAGAAATAGAATATAGCAATTAATGGAATTTTCCATATCATCACATGTTTTACATATCATTGATTCTTCTCATTGTTTTAATCAACTTCCGGTTAAGCAAATTCAGTTGGCCTTCTCAAGTTTGCTTCTCTACTAAACTTGAATATTTTTATATAATCTCAATTAAATTGTTATTCCAATACATCTATTTTGTATTTTTTTTTCAAAAATAATAACATTTACTTATAAACTATAAACGAATATTGTTAGGATCAGAGGGTTATAATTAATACAATAGGGTATTCAATGAAAAATATCTGCCTGTAAGTAATTATTTGCTATTAACTGACAGATTCTAATTGCTGGGATTAACATAAAATTTTATACTGTCATTACTCTAGATATCTTGTATATTTAGAACAACAGTTTCTAGTTAAAAATGATAATGTGAAACTTGTGTAAGTTTAAACTATCTTTCGTTATGAATGTTCCATATATCAATGTAAAGAGCAAAACAGTGTCAATATTATCATTGCTAATTTCAGCTTGACTAGATAATTGTCATCAGTGTTTCGGTAAGCGAAGCTATCAAAACAATATATTTGAATTATTTCTGAAATTGTATCCATTGTGATGTATAATTCGACCAGTTAAAATTCATTTGCAGAAACCTGGTATAACTGCTAATGGAATAAGAAGATAGGTTTTAAACAATGTTATATTATGCTGATTTAAGATTCAACATTTGAATAATTGGCTGAAGATTGATTATTTTATCATCTTTCGTACAGTACATAACGTTGACTTTAGTTGTTACTGTGAATCATATTCATACATGACCAAGTGTTGAAAACAGTAAAAATAATTCCAATATCACATCACATATTTTCAGAACTATCAATGTAATAATTTCTATATGGTTGACAAAGCTGACAGCTCAAACATATAATCTACTATGCTGTACTTATGTAATTCCTGATAACTTTGTTGACATTTAAACTCAGTATTTATAGTCGTAAATAATAAGTACTCTAGTACCCACTGTGACAACCAAAACATAATTTTGAAACTTTTTTTAGAAAAAGCATAGATATGAAAAGCCTGTATATCACTAGACATTGACCATCTGCTGTATACATCAACAATGTGAAGCATAAACTTCTACAAAATAATTATTATTTCCTGAAACAAAAAAGATGACAGTTGGAATTGCTTAATCTACTACATGAAATAGTAATTTTTAGGACGTCAATAGTTTGCGGAAACATTAACTTAACTAAACAAAGTATAATTCTTGAATCTAACAAGAGATAAACTAAAAATATTGGGTGATTCTTCGATCCCCATAATTCCTTTCGTTGTGCTTATTCTCATTATTACATGATCGCTTCATAATAATAATAATAATGATAATGATAATGATAATAATAATAATAATAATAATAAACAGTGATAATAAGAATAAATGATAATAATTATACATAATTGACATAATTAACATAATTGATGGAATTTTTAATCAAGTTTTTATAGTAAGAATTTTCGGTACTCGTTTTTACTATTTATTTCCCTTAGTCACAGATATGATTATTTTAATTAAATTTATAATTGGAAACAACGAAATAATTGAAGTTAACTTAGTTTGTAGTTTACTTAATGAATCAACTATATCAAAACAACCGTTGAAAAACAGAGGGGAATGGCTATCTGTCCCAATTTATTATGTGGATGCACTGATGAGGAATATTAGACTAAAGTAAAATAGATGTATTGTGCTTCTCAAGTTTTTGTAGTTGTTTAGTTGAGTTCAATATGTAATGTGAGATGAAAGTTATCAATGAAATGCTTGTCATCATTATTCTACGAAATACTACCTTCTTAAATACTATATTTTTATTAGTATATTTTTCAGTCTTCCAAAAGTGACTATATATCTTGACTCTGTAGACACTTTTCTTCACTGATATTACGAATACATGGGCTTCTTTTATCAAATGTTATTATATAAGTACATTTAATCCAATGGTAGCATTATCATTGAGATAAATATCTTCTTGTAAGATTTTAAGCAGGAAGCTGATAATTGGCGGCCGGTGAAAACATAACAGTAAAGTTTCATATTTTAAATTTGCTTCATCTCAATAATTATATGTATTCACAACATGGATTCTGAAGCTTTTATAGAAAAGTCACAACTGTAGGACTCGTTCAGCTTAAATGACTTTGATTTCGAATTTCAAACGTAAGTATTCTTGATGGACATTTTATCATTCAGGTCTTGTTCTGTTTTCTATCACTCAAGGTGTTCATCTTTAAACACACGATTACCTACTTCAACTGTTGGCCGAATACTTATGAGTTAGATATAATCTGAAATCCTACATAATCTGATATGAACTTAATTTCCGTGAACTCAATTGAAAGCACCATTATGACCAGAAAATTTCCCTCTTTCGCTATTCTTTGGAGAGACAAGAAGCAATCACAGTACAATTTATGCTTAAAATATATT